CCCTAAACCCTAAACCCACTGAGGGTTGGAAAGTCTCGTGGGTCGTGGGTTTAAGGCTCTAATGGGGCTCTTGGAGTCTTGGAGTTTGGGCTTTCGGTGAGTTTAAGATCCTGGGGCTCTTGACTTTGGAGTTCTTGCAGTCCTAGGGGGTTCCGCAGAGTTGAGGGTGCAATATAGGGGCCTAACTAATTACCTATAGTAGTTTGGGGGTTTCCTTAATATATTTATAGTATAATATACACCGAAACCCTATTCTAATGATTAAGGCCCCTGCACTAGGTTTAGGGTACAGTGCCAAGCGGAGGTTCTCGAGTTTCGGATTTCGGGGCAAGCCCTATCCCCGAAAGCCCCAAATAGATTTATGTACCCTCTAAACCCGATGCCCTCAAGTATACCCCAAACCGTCAATCCCCTAAACCGTGCGGTCCAGGGTTTTTGGCTTGTTTCTCGTTTCGAGTTTTCTTTTCGGTCTGCGCCGGTGTTTGAACAGTACGGTTGAAGGTCTTGGGTATAGGGGGCTGTGGGAGTGTCGGGCTTCGGGTAGGAAGCCGATTATTTTGTAGCATAATATACCCCAAAACCCTAAACCCTAAACCCTAAACCCTAAACCCTAAACCTTAAACCCTAATTATCCTATAAGGCCCCCTATACTGAACCCTTACGGTACCTTTATACTACCCCTTGAAGGAGCCCTTTAAAGGACAACCCTAAGTCCCTAAACCCTTGTTAAGCCAACCCGAAACCCTAGACCCCTAAACTTTAGGGTTTAGGGTTTAGGGTTTAGGGGGCCTAAACCCTAAACCCCCTCAACCCCGCAAAACCCCTTAAGCCCTGCAGCCCTCAACCCGAAACCCTAGACCTCTAAACCCTAAACCCCCTAAGCCTTCTCAACCCCGCAAAGCCCCCTAAGCCCTGCAGCCCTCAACCCGAAACTCCTGTTTCCTTCGAGGCTCATGAAGCCCCCACCCAGCTGGCAGAGCGGGCGAGTCAGCCGGAGAAATTCGTGGGGCTTTGGGGTTTAGGGTTGGGGGGTTTGGGGTTTTGGGTTGAGTGTGGGTAAAATTGAGGGGTTTGGGACATAGGGCTCCTGACCTGAAGGGTTCGAAACTTTGGGGTTTAGGGTTTAGGGGTTTAGGGGTTTAGGGGTTTAGGGGTTTGGGGTTTAGGGTTTAGGGGTTTAGGGTTTGGGGGGTATGTTTCACTACGCGTACATCAGGGAGCCCTCAGAAATCGACGCGGGGTCGGCAAATTTGTACATTATCCCCCTTGTAGTTCCTATCAGGTTTCTTACAGACTACACCCCAAAAACCTTAAACCCTAAACCCCAAAACCCAAGTTAATATTTCTGAAGGCCCCGATATTCGGTGTAACTGCAGGGCTCTAGCGGGAGAGGGAAGTTCAAGAGTTTGAGATCCCTAAACCCCTAAACCCTAAACCCTAAACCCAAACCCTAAACCCTAAACCCTAAACCCCTAGACCCCTAAACCCTAAACCCCTAAACCCCAATTCCTCGATTCCTACGACACTTTCTACGCGTACTGGCCGCAAGCCCGAAAATCTGGTTCAGACTCCGGGTTCAGGGTTTTATAGGGTTTAGGGTTCAGGGTTTTTTAGGGTTTCGGGTTTAGGGGTCGGGAAGAACTAGAATAGGGTTTTGGGGTATAGTGCACTATACTACACTACCAGTCATGTGCAGAAGCTGTGACTTAGCGCGAGGGTTCGCTACAGATACTGCGTGAGGCATGAGGATTCTGATGTTTTGGCAGAGGACCCTAAACCCTAAACCCT